ATAATAAACAATGTGTGTTATTTAAAAGCCTTTATAACATCTTGCATTTAAACAGTTTTCTCCAGATTTTCAGCAGTTGCAAAGGATTTCACAAAACTTTGAGTGGCAGTTCAAAAGTATCTAAGTCACATGAAACACTTTTCCAGCAGCCTGTGTAAATGCTCTGTTCTATTTCACTAGACAACTGTGTGACTCTGCTCCCTAGAAACAAAATGAACAGCTACATAAGGGAAATGAAAATTACTGAACTGGGATAAGCTGCTTACAAACAGATGATTGAAACTTGAAGAACATCTTGGGAACAAAATATTTATTAGGAAACTAGCTTTTTGTATGTATTTACAGTTTATAGGCAATATTGTAAATTAATCTATTTTCATTTGTTAACACTTGTGATTAGCTGATATTACCATAACTTTCTGATTCTTTGCAGTGCTTGGAAATGCCATAATGAATTGATTGGGTGGTTAGTGTTGAGGAACAAAAATCTGGATTTGACAGAAGGTTTAGATCTGCTGCTGTCACTCCAAGATGATATTCAAATTTTTTTGTCTCCAGTTTTCAAACAGTCATTTGATATGAAATCAGACTCAAGTTAAACAACAGTGTATAGTTATTTTTTCCTTTGGGGTATCAAATAAAGTACACGTCAGTAAGATAGAGTCATTAAACCCTCACTTTTAAATCATAAATCCAGTGTTTTATGTGTTTTGCATTTGTGTACTGCATCATGCAAACCAACCTTATAACCCCATGCCCATTCCAGCTTTTGGTGACTGGCCTGAATTAGCAGCAGCACTCTGTCCATCTTTGTCTTCCCTCTCTCTGAAGGTCTGAGGCGAGGCTTGTGAGGGGGGAGACGGTGGAGGATAGGACGGAGGAGGGATGCCAAGGTGAGGGAGAGTTGGCAGCACAGGCCTCGGAGAAGTGGGCAGCGGAGGAGGCGTCGACGACGTAGAGGAGTGTTGAGCTGGACGCGAGCGAGAGGTGGCTGGGGAGGCGTGTGCGCTTCTGGCACGCACAGGTTCAGCGGGACAGTCACTTATTTGCTCGAGCAGCGACGGCATGTCTCCCTCAATCTTCTCGAGCACGGCCACCATTTGCTTTTCAATCTGCTCAATCACACTGTCCATTTGCCAGTCGCTTGCAGCACTGCTCCCACTTCCATGATGTAGACCAGTCCCATACACCCCTACCCCTCCTCCACTTGTGTACAAAGAACTATAAGGGTTCCCATAGCTCCCTGCCATCCCCATCCCCACAGCCACAGCTTCCGGGTTGTATGGTGTGGCGTGACGACCCAAACTAGCAGAGCTGCCTGCTGAATAACAACCTGACCCCGGTGCAGTAGATGTTCTTGACATGCTTATTTCAGCACTGTGTCTGTCTGTTCTTTTGACATTCCTGTCTCTTCTACCTACAGGACTAGCATCGCCTCTTAACCTAACTCCCATTCCTGTGTCCACCCCCGTCCCCTGCCCAACGGCTGAAGTAACTGGCCCTCCCACCGACCTTTCTGCCACAGCTTCAGGCACTTGCGTCTGACACCAACTTCCATTGGTTTCGTCCTTTTGTAGGCTTTGGGTGGCTCGTCTCTTCTCTGGTGAGGATGATGCGATGACAGAAGATGCAGGGGAAGGACTGTGGAGTGCTGCAGTCATCTTCTGTTTGCTTTTGGGCTCAGGAGAAGCGGCTGTGTATTTTTTATCTACATCTGCACACTGAGAGCTTTCTAACAGCTTGGAGTGTTCAGGGGTCACGTCAGGGGTACATTTGGCCTCTGGTATGACTTTATTCTGACCTAAATTGGCAGCAATCTTTCTGGTTCCATCTCCTGCTCCCTTTTTTACACTTGACTTATTGAGCTCCTCTTGTGCAGGTTTAGGGGGTGAATTTGATTGGTTGAGAGGGTTCTGGATATCTGACGGGGAAACTCCTACAGATGGGCCTGTAGCCTTGCTTACGTCCTCTGGTATTTCCTCTATCTGAATGGCGCTTTCATCCCGGTGAATACCGATTTGTGTACTTTCAACAGTAACCTCTAAAGACACGCTGCTTGATGTGACCCCCTCATCAGTTGTTCCTTTCTCACCCTCATCACTCGTTCCCTGTGAAATGCCCCCTTCGGTGCCCTGAACGTCAACTGAATTGTCATTCTGTGCCTCCGAATTCTTCAGTCGTTGCATGAAGGTGGTAACACGGATTGCTTTCTGTAAACAGGAGATAAACCAAAAACAAGGAAAGGATGACAGGGCTAAAAAATATACAATTTCAATGCATTTTAGACAAAGGTGTTTGACAAAATGCTTATTCAAGCACCGTGATGTAGCATCAGTACAAAGCACTGAAGTGTAATTTCTGTGGAGCAAAGAAATATTATTGCCAGTTGTTAGCATCCAGAAGACTATAACTTATTATACACCCTGGTTTAAATCAATCTCAAGACTCACTTTTCTCCAGGAACTCCTTGACTGTGCTGATTGTAAAAGATCAACATGTACACGTTGATGTCTCATTTCGGTTACAGTCATCAAGATTAACTTTCAGTCAGCAAGCACTGAAAGAGTAAGAGAAGATGTGCGAGCCTAGCAGTTGTTTCTAAACCAGGGCGATGCGAATTCCCTCAAATTCACGGAAAAATGAAAATCCACTGAATACAGCGTGGCTTAACTGAAAGAGCTTCTATATGTATGAGTTGAATGTAACAACAATGGGACAATGAGCCAGGATTTGTGTAAGAGGAATGCCAGAGGGCCTTACAGCTCAAATCACTGCAGTTCAACAGTCAACAGTGGCCGTCAGCCTTCATTTCCTTTCCAGTTCTCCCTCTCCTTATCCACACTAATTCAAAAATAAAGAACAAAACTTGATTTATCTGGCTAATTGTTTTCTGTTTTTTTCCCCCCTACCAGTCGAGTATCAGAAACTAGTGCGGATGAGGAGAAAGAAAGGTTGCATAGCAGGCCACGTTGATCATCTGGATGTTATCCAGTGAAGAAAAGTGGGGCAGAGTGGATGGATCTCTGTTTGGGACAGACAGAGCGACAATGGGCTGGAGCAGAGCTTGAGAGGAACCTCGACAGCCTTGGCATGATCAGTATACATCCGGGTTGACAGCAATTCTTAACTGCTTTGTTAACTTTACCAATAAAATCCCTGTTTAAACACTGATGATGGTACAGCTTTAACAAAAAAACAGATGTGTAGTTTGATCATGCCAGACAGGGTGTGAGGTTTGATTCTCATTCTCACCCATAACAAAACAACAATACCTTCAACTCCTGGGATCACATGGAGAAAGAGAGAAGAGGTTTACAACTGTTACTCTTGCTGAAGGTCAGCATCTTGGTTCTTCCTAACTGTGAGAATTATCACTGCATTATGCAACATTCTAATCAAATCATACCTCAATGAGAGCTGTACTATGAGCTAAAACGCTATTAATCTCCAAGCAATCTTGCCACTCCTCCATTTACTTTGCGGCTCATTTACTGTGCGTTTGCCAAATTTTGATTGTGCTGCAGGAAATAGTGCAGAAGGAACTCATACCCGCCATTTGGCTTTCGCAAAGTTCTTCTCAAACTGGGCGCACACACCATCCTTTAAGTTCTTCTCCGACGCGCCATTTCCTGCAATCCTGGCACAGATGACAAACAGCGGGACAGTAAGAAAAAAATAGGGCCTAACAGGTGTGTAAAAGAAGATGTGAGTATAAGTCCACAGTTACCATTCATGTCGAAGTGCATCTTGTGCTGTGACTCTCAGCATCTGGTCCACTTCCATGAGTCGACACACAAGCTCCTTAGCTGAAAGAGGAAGAGCACCAAAAAGGAAGAGAAAAAAATAAATTCTGGTCACAATTACACATTTATAGATAGTTTTTATTAAATGAGGAATGAGAGTGCTTTTATATAAGCACAATAAATCAGGCTGTGAAATAAATTTTGACAAAGCAGCTATTTTTTTATTAACTGCTTCTCTGAGATTTAATGAACAGGCCAGTCTGAAAGTAACAGTGGGTGTTTAGTGCCATCGTGTGGTGAGGGAAAACACCTGCAGGTGAAATATCATCCCAGTAAGGAGAGTCAAACTCGAAGTCCCCAGCAACAATGCGACAGAAGATGATGCGATTATGTAGATCTGTGTTTTCTTCTTCAGTTTCATCATAAAAAGGAGGATTACCCGATAAGCTGCCAAAACACAAAGAGCAATAAATAAATAAATAAATAAAATAAAAAGTAAAAAAGGGTAATTACATTATCATAATGTACATGATTTTGAGAAATCAGATCCTTTTTATGCGTAAATTTGTTGCTCTGTAAATTTTCAAGCAGCTTAGAACATTTGAGTTTAGCTGAAATGTAGTTTTTGAAGTTAAATTTAGAGACTCACAGTATGAACATGATCACACCCACAGCCCAGCAGTCCACAGGACGACCGTATCGGTGTCGCGCCACTACTTCTGGAGCTGATGGTAAAACGTTCAGTGGATGTAAAAATAAACTTACAATCAAAAGCAAACAGAGTTCTTGGTTTTAATCCGTACATCTTCACAGCATAGAATATAAAATGACTCAGACAACCTTCATCTGAAGCTCTCATTTTAGCTTCTCATCCTTCTTCCCATCAGAGGCTCCATTCCTTTTCATTATTTACTGATTTCATTACCTGGCCCGGCATTATGAATGACTGCCCTGGTCTTTAACTGCAGAGAACCTAGCCAAAGCACAGCTCTGCACTACAGGTTGCCCTCACATAAACCTCAGAAAGACAGAGAGCACTGAGGCAGTCCACAGAATCAAAGAGCAGATAAAAGAGAGAATAAACAGGAGGCACAGAGCAAGTGCTAAATGCTTTCAATCCTGTTTATGTTTTTTCCACGTTTTACAGTGGGGTGCAAAAGTTTGGGCAGCCAATTTTCCTGATTTACTGTTATAAATCATTGATTGTTTGGATTTTAAAAAAATCAGTTAAATATATAATATAGGGGACAAACAGTGATATATGAGAAGTGAAATGAAGTTGATATGATTTACTGAAAGTGTGCAATAATTGGTTAAACAAAATTAAGCAGGTACATAAATTTGGGCACTGTTGTCATTTYATTGATTTCAAAACTTTTAGAACTAATTACWGGAACTCAAATTTGGTTTGGTAAGTTCAGTGACCCTTGACCTCCATACACAGGTGACTCCAATTATGAGAAATGGTATTTTAGTASAGACCCTAGTTTTATTCACAACAAAAAACAAAAGTAATAGCAAGATGCAAATATTACAGAAATAGGAAATAAATCTAAAAACCCACATAAATGAAGTGCAACCCACCTAAATATTCAGGCGTTCCACAGGGCTCTGTGATTGGTCCGTTCTCAAACCTGGAAAGGTAAAAGTCTCGCAGAACGACTCTGTTATGATTGTTTTCTGTGTAGTACATCAGGTTTTCAAGCTAAATGCAAAAACAAAAGGGGAAAACATTTTGTTACAAACTAACATAGACTGAAACTCTATTTTTTTTACTTTCACAAAAAAGAATGGTTTAGAGATACAAATATATGATGGAAATATTCATAGATGTTCATTTTTAGGAATACTTAGTTAACAGGACAGATTTCTGCCCTTAAACTGCTTGATCTATCTTACTTTGCATTTTACTTTCGTATTAGTTATTTTTCTTTGAACAGTCAAAAGGAGCAAATAATTGTTGTACTTTCCCTCAAGCCATTTACACTAACTGGTAAGTGCTGTGAGGTTTTTCAGCAGATGGTGTGCTCAAAATCCCTGAGCAGACTAGCAGCTGGAGAAATTTTGGACGGAATAATGATGAATACTTTCAGAAAACTGACATCAAAGCCGTGGTGGATAATTATGAAAAACRCCTTATATAAATTCTTTCTGGAGTGAAGAATAATTCAAAAATTTCCATTTCCTGAGAAGAATAAGTCATGATTTGAGAGTTTGCTAGTSTAATAGTGGTAAAACCAAACTTTTAGACCAACAGACAGATGTAATTATGTGATTTGGTTGATAATATTGTCTTACTTGTTATGTATAAGGCTAATAAAAATACTGTATATTACCTTTAAACTTCCAATCAAAAATTGTTAAGAGAGCTGCTATAAACTTAAAGGAATTGAGATTTTTGTAAAACTGCAATTTAAACTTGTTTGAAGGAAAGAAATTTTCAATTCAAGGAATACGACTGTGAAATAAATTTGAGATTGATCTTACTGCTGTAAAAATTATATTTATGAGAATGATAAAAGTTAGTTTRTTGAACAAATATGATATATTATATGTGTGTATGTGACATGATTTGTTGTTTAGGAAGGACCCGTTTTTTTTGTTAGAATTTAATTTTGGGGAAAAAAGATATAAAGATTTTTTTCTTTCTGCTTCGTTTCAATTCGTTTTATTGTAGATAGATTTTCTTTTTTTCTTTTAATAAATTATTAAAAAAATTGAATGTCAAATGTACTCTTTTTTCATGCAAAATAAAAATGCTGAGAATATTTAAACATGTTTATATGTAACATCATTTTTACCACACATTTGCACACATCTAGAGGAGTTTCATCTTTAAATCTGTTAAATTAAGCAGTATAATTGCCTTTTTTTTTCTAGGAACTGATTAAATAGAAAAGAGATCTTACTGAAAAGGTCAATATGACTTAGTTTGACATTTTTTAGGACAATCCGTACCAGTCCAAACCTATGGATTTCTATCTGCTACCAGTAGGTGGAGTCTGAAGACAGAGTTATGATGTGTTTACATTTTTTAATGGGTCCACAATGAAGCATAAACATATACATCCATTTGCAAGTGTGAGTATCATTATAGATTGTTCCAAGCCATTAAGACAATGTTTACTCCCAAAGTAAAAAAAAACAAATGCTCATTTTATAATTGAGATGGTAGAGAAATGCTTTTGTGTGTCTCTGCAGAGGCTGTATGTTGACTGAATTGCGAATGTGGCTCTCTGGGATGGGTTATGATGAAGAGGTCAAGAAACAATAAAAAGTTGTTTGTTTCTTTTCCTTTTGTAGTTCTAGGCCACTAGTTTATTTAAACCTCAGTATTCTGAGGACACTTGGCACACACTTTAGTGTATTACACACACACACAGACACACAAACTTTCCAGAGATATGTGCCACACATCTTGTTGTTTTTTTTATCCTCCCAGGCATTACTCTTTCAAAGTAACACCTTCCCTTGCACCTTACCCTGCTCTAAATGTGAWCAAATGTCTGCTTTTTATCATAAAATYCARGCTTTRAATATTAAAATGTCCACCCATGGGAATGTCATGTCTCTGTGGGGAATGAACTCCCCAGTGGTTAGTTTGCAGTTTCCATGTGTAACACCTACACACACACATCCAACGATGCAGTGATGGATGAAGAGTCGGTGCAGTTGTACCTTGAGGTTCCTGTGAACAATGTTGAGGGAGTGTAAGTACGCCACGGCCTCAAGAACTTGCTTGATAACATTGGAGGCGTCTCTCTCCGTGTAGTTCCCTTGGTCCAGAATCCAGTCGAATACRTCTCCCCCTGTGGCACTGTGTACAATTACACGCTGTATGTCACTATTCTACTAGTGGATATAGATGTTACTTTTCAACATTACACATCATTTTTCTGCACCAAAGTTATTGCCCTTTTGTCTATTAGGAATACGTGTTGTTTTCCCCTCCCCATTGCGCAGCCGAGCAATTAAAGTAAGAGTGCAGGGTATTACTCTTTTAGACTTAGTTGGTGGGAGCGATTATCACATATTGCCCTCAGCAGAATGACTGTGGCCCTGGCCAAGCTGTGAGCTACACGTTAGAAGCCTGATGACTGCAGTCACTTTAAGTGCAGTTCTCTTTCTCCTTGTTTCAGTAATGAAAATACTTTGTCCTCCCCGTTTCGGTCGGTGTTATTGCTTTTAAACAAAGTTAGAAATGTTGAATTTCACGAGTCACAAGCGATGCATATTTGCCGGGGCTCTGAAGAATCAATTTCAAGCTCCCCGTACAAAGTATCCCACCGCAAAGCAAGCCTTCAGGGGCCACTGAGTAATGTTGAATGCTACTGAGAGCAAATGTCTTMGTAAACCCAACACCTTCCACTGTTGCAGAGGGGAGAACCAGAGCACACAGTAATAAGAGGAAAGATTAAATTCCCAGCTTTGAAACAGTGGATTTATTTGTGTGAGTGTTAAGATGCACGGAGGCACAAATAWATGCGTTGTCAACACTGAAAAAGGAAATGTCTAAACTCACAGTTCTTGGATGATGAAGTATTCTTTCCGGGTCTCAAATGTATCTATCAGCTGGAGGATGTTTGGGTGATTGACCCTGGAACAGAAAAAAAAGGTGGGCTTTACATGCAACTTTGTTACATCAGTTCTATTTAAATGCAGAAACATTTCTTCACTGTTCTACTCTCTGACCCTTTTTTTTTGTTTATCCAAATGTGTACTGGCCAATTACTTACAGCTTCAAGATCATGATTTCGTTCTTGGCAGCTTTGCGGACTTTCCTGCCGTCTTTCTTGAGGAATTTCTTGCAGACAAACACCTTTTCTGTTTGTCTGTCCTTTGCCAGGCACAGCTCGCAGAACTCCTTCCTACACCGAAAAAAAAGAGGAAAATAAAACTCCAGAAAAGACAGACTGAAAGAAGATAAACACAGTGTGAGATGAAGGATGGAAAATGGTGACCGTGTGTTAAAATGAAGCCTAAAAMAAACATGCTTGGCTGTTTTTTTTTAATCACATCTGACAATAATGACCCAAGAGAGACGAGGAATAATATTCAAATTAGAGAGATTCAGAACACTGGCTGTGCTGGTGAAACATAGTGAAAGAATTTAATTGGAAGGTGAGTGGCTGAGTTGAATAAATAGACTGTAAATAAAAATCTACAGGGCATCAACAGCTTCTTTGGCTTCTGGGGCAAACAGTACATCATGCAAATGGATTTATGGAATCCATATAAAGAAAGATCAAACTGAAATATTTCTTAATGAACATAAATTTACATCAACAATGTGTAAGCAGGGGTTCTTATTCTGCCTATATTTTAATATTTAATATTCAAACTTGCTCATTTCATTTGTGTAAACACATGTTATGCATACATTTTTATTTACTTCACTGCTTTAATGGCTTTATTTAATATTTGGGACATGCCCGTGTGAAATGAATATTTTTTTCTGCACTCATTTTTTTCAGTATGCCTGCATCTGTGTGTGAGAGTGTGTGTGTGTGTGTATGTGTGTGTGTGTGTGTGTGTGTGTGTGTGTGTGTGTGTGTGTGTTATGTAAATTCTGAGCAGAAACCTCTGAGGCCAGATGCTGATGTTGCCATATGGCCTCTCACACCAATTGGTATTTGTGCATATGGTCTGTGTGTGTATGTGTGTGTGTGTGTGTGTGTGTGTGTGTGTGTGTGTGTCTTTTGAGTAGTGGTGTTCTGGAGAAATAAATGATAAGTTTTCAGCCAGCAAGGTGATTATCACAAACCTCTGCATGAAAACTGTATGGATTTTATTTTCTTATAAACGAACCACTAAACTGAAAGGTTGTTTTTAWTGAACAGACAGGATCAGAATGCTCAGATGTTTGAGTGATTCAAAAATGATCTATTAATAAAAAATAATWATGTAAATACTCAATTTTAGATAAAAGTAAAGCCAAAAACACAGTGAAAGTGGTTCTGATTCATTTGAAATACTTTTAAAATTTTGCYAAAAACACTTGAAACTTGAAATATATCAATTAATTCTACATAGAGATATCAGAACAGAAAATTTGAAACTAATGCATTAAGTTTTAAGCTACTTACGCTCGAAGGACTTGTCCAAACTCATATTTGTCTGTGACATCAGATATGCTGCTAAAGGTCCGCCCATCTCGCAGGGCAAGGCATCCAAATGGCATCACGGCATTCACCTGACAAAACATATATATATAAAGAAAAGGGGAAAAAATGTGAATGGGCGCAGTTACCACCACATCAAATTTTAGCTCAACAAACTGAGTTGTAGCCATTTTCTTTTTGTGTTTTCTATGTTCAGCTGCGGCAGTCATCTTGAATTGGGCCTTACAACTAACTGCCTACAGGAAGGAAGTCAAACAGCGGGCGTCCTGATGAAGCAACAACCACCTTCTGCTAAACACAGAAAAGAATGTAGAGATAGTGGTGGATTTCAACCCCCTCACCCCCTTTACATCAACGACTCTGCACTTTCTGCTGTGGAGTCCCTCAAGCTCCAGAGACCGGAAGTAGGGGAGAAGAGAAATACAGTCTCCATCTCCAATGAAGCAGCAAAGAGTGTTCTGCTGGTGAACAAATCCAATCTGCCACAGACCCCGATGATCCATTTCAACACAGCGATCATTGAATCCATCCTCACATCATCTATGGCCATCTGGTTTGGTTCCTCAACCTCCCAAGAATGAGCCGAACTCCAGCARCTCATCAGAACTGCAGAAAGGATCATTGGAWGTAATCTGCCAACCCTTCAGGAGATCCACACCAGCAGGGTGAGGAAGTGAGCTGGCTAAATCACAACTGACCCCTCACATCCTGGACGTGACCTCTTCCAGACACTTCCCTCTGGCAGAAGAACAACTCGGCGTGCTAACAGCTTCTGCCCTACATCTGAAGTACTCCTCAACCACAGCAGACACCTGTCATTCTAGTTAGAACTTATTCCACAATGTTAACAAACTTCAATAATTCCACACAGCTGTTGAAAAATATGTACATATTGCTGATCTGACAAATGTTTATTTGCACTATGTGTAGATGCTCACATTGCTGATCATCTGTAAATTCCTGTAAATTATACTTTGTGTATAGATGTTAAACTCCTCTTAGTGTATTTCTTGTCAACTTTCAGTGGTCTTGTTACATCTTACATGTGTGCTCTCACCAAGTCAATGTCCTTGTATATGTACAACATACTTGGTGAACTGAATGAATGATTGATTGATTGATTGATTGACTGAC